AATTACACCATTTGCACCCGAATTCCCTTTCACTGGGGAAAACATAACTGTAACAGTATTCTGTTTTGACCGCGTGTCTACTAGAGTATTTATTGATTCCACCCGGATGCTAGATGGGCTAGCGCCTGTGGTGGTCCGTTGGGAGTTTGCAAAATGTAGAGGGGATCAGATTGGAATAACCCAATATATCGATCGTAATATGGACATGCCTTTTTAAGTAACAATTAAATAAACCTTACAATAAATTTATTTTGTTTTTCAAAATTAAAATGTGATAAAAAATTGTGGTTCTAATGCCTAAACTTCTGTTACAGAATTTTTTAATGTCCTTTAGTCAAAAACGGTTATGTTGATATGATGCAATTCAATCAAATATTTCACCTTTGAACACAAATCACGTCACAAAGTTCACAATACCGGTATAGACAGGTAAACATAAACATTAAAGAATAAGTTCTGAGACGAATCAAGTTAAAAACTTACAAGAGTGAGAAACAAACAAGTACATGTCCTTCTCTGAAATCAGAAATCAGAAATATTTATCATATGAACCGGTAAAGGTGTTACATACTATTTTATTCAGTTCATATTCAGTCTTTACCCAAATAGGACGTACAATATCTCAAAATTACAGTGATAAAAATACAATTAAAATATTACAATTTAAAAATCCATAATTAAAATTGAACTTATTACACAATTATCAAATACTTGATATCTATTTACAAACATTATTTATTTTAATTAAATTATTTGAATTTCATTTTATCTCTTTAATACATTTGCGTTGTTGCATAAAAAAAAAGTTTGGATGTACATTTAATAATCTCATAGCCTCGCACTAACGAAAACCTGTATCGCGGGTGGATACACGTCCATGGCACCCGCGACATAGGGTTTCCCTAGTGCGAGGCTTTGTTGAGTGTGTCCGTTAAAAAAAAATGCTTGCCTTCTATGTCATTTATTGTTTTACATGTTAAGAAAACCATTGTAATGAAACCTACAAATCGGAAGTCTTACATTTTTTTTAAACTTTAGTCCGCTTTGCATCTGCGTAGTGACGCACCCCTCATGGAAAAATAGCATAAGTGTAGTTACGTCAAAAAGGTTTATTGCTCCTTTAGATATAGAAAAATATAACCCATATCCTCTCCAATTAACTCTTGTAACACTATCTTCAATATTAGTCGATAGAATTACAAGAATTGATAGATGTAGGTTGTATTTTTCTGTATCTAATGGAGCAATAAACGTTTTTGACGTAACTCCACTTATGCCATTATTCCATGAGGGGTGGGAATAGAGGCTTAAACCTGGGTCTCAGACATGATACTTTTTTGTCTGCACCTAGCTTGATCGGTGCGTCTTGTCTAAACCTGTCCAACACTTGACAAAATACATGATTAAACTTGGATGACTTATTACCCAGTTGACATTAGACCATTTTTCACCTACATTATTATAATGCCCTGTCGATATTCCACAGGATGATTAAAGTTTGCGCCATTCGTCAACATCAACGCTTTTGCCAATTATTTTGGGGATGTTTGATGGATTTTGGATGTTCGGGGTTATAATAGGATTTTTAATCTTCGTATTAATCTGTATATTGGTTGCTTTTGTCAAAATGTTGTCAGAGTAAATTGGATTTACAATTAACTCAAGAATTACTGACAGGCAAGTCTCGATAGCAACACCATATCGACTTTCCACGTAATTTATCGTAAGCTATATAAATAGGTGCAATTTTTCATAAATCATTTTTCTACTCAGGGAAGGTTTATGCAATAGTCCGCCACGCTCTGGCCCAAACGCGGGTTGGGGGTCTTCTCACATTTTCCTAGTGTTGTGAACCTTCTTTGACGTGGGTTCAACACGATGTTTCCTTCACCTAAAAGCTCATATTCGATTTCAAATTAAATTTCGCACATACATTCTAAGAAAGCCAAAGGTGCGAGTCCGGATACGAGCCCACGTCCTTTTCTTGAGAAGTGATAGGTCAAATCATTAGGCTACCGCAGCTTTTGAAGAAAGAAAAGAACGTAAAAATTTTAATCTTTCTTTTGGAATACTGTAGCCCAATAAAATATACTGAATTCATTGTATTAGAATGAAAGAAAGAAGGAAGACAAATTTAATTCCGTTAACAAATAACAGCACAGCACATATTTCGCACTGTCAATATTGTGAAAGATCTGTATAAATTTACGTACAGGTTATTTTCTACTTGCCAAATATAGATATTTAAAAATAAAAGAAAAAAAAATTATTTCATATTTTTGAATAAGGACTATTTTGGTCAGAACTAGCTCACATAAATCGTGTGTCATTTTGAGTTAAGTAGATATCTTTTAGTTTGTTTTACAATATTCTAACGACGGTTTTATTGACGTGTAGAAAATCAAATTTTATGTTTAATAATGGTATAATCTTGAATTTCACATATTTTGAGTTATAACACTATTGTAATAGCAGCGCGATATGTACATTACTTGAACTAAAGTGATTTATTAATACATCCATTGCATTATTTATACGAACACGAAGACAATCCTGTTCAATTACATCTCACGTTTTACACAATATTTAATATTGTAATTCCTAAACGTTGACAAATACAAAAACAAGATTAAAATCTTAAACAATTGTTATTGTTTACATTTGCAACACACTGTATACAAAAACATAGTCATTACTGGAGAATGTATACATGATAGTAAATATATACAGCTCAATAATATCGCACGAGGTCAGTGTTTTAAAGGAAATGTGTGAGAGTGGTTGATAAATAAAATATATTGGAAGACACGGTGAGTTTTAAAAGTAGATAAGTGAAGAAGTGCTCATTAAAAGTAAAAAGAATTCGTATAAAGTTAAACAAAATTCATAGAAACAAAAGAACTAAATTATAAATGCTATTTTATGTTTTCCAAGTTATGAAAGAATGAGATCAAATAATATACTTCTTTCTTTCTTTCTTTCTTCAAAAGCGTTATAATATAAAATGCAGCATGATATATTTTGTGACTTTTTACGTATACCTATTTATAAATTTTAAAGTTTGCTGTCTATCAGCGTATTGTTTGTTCGTTCTTATAATATTGAAGACTGACACCCCTACTTACGAACAAAACAAAAATCGTACTTACAAAATTCTTCACTAAAATTGGCTTGAGTGAAATTTTTGCTTAAGTGCGATTTGGTGTTTTTTGATATTTATGAACACTTTTTAACTCGCTCTTATCCAAGCTCAGTCTCAAGTTTTACTTCGAAGCCAGTAGCCAATGACAGTACTTGTTTCTTCAAAAATCAAAGCGGGAATTTTTGAAGATTGTTTTCTAGTATGTGGACTTTTGTTTGTGGCTGTTAACAAACAATTACCTTTGCCTTGTCTTCAGCGGAAAGAATTAAAAAAATTATCAAGCTGTTTTGAACTTGTTTATTCTAAATACTTAGTTTAAAAAATTGTATTGATTTTTTAAATTCGATTTTTAAATATATTAATTAATTAATATGGCTGAACTTGCATTAGTAGGAAAATGGTGTTTACAACAATTTCTTTGGAAAATCTAGAACATGAGAATGAAAATCAATGAAGATTAGAGTTATCTCTCTCTGTTTTATTATATCAGTTGCTGTAGGAATACGACTTACTTTTATATTACAATGTTACAAATAATTGAATTATGAAACTTCTTGAGTTCCGGAACAGACAAAGTAGGTTCCATTGCACTTTTCTGAACCTATGTGAAATGAGAAACCAAAACAAGTCGATAGCTGTAAACAAAACTGGTGTTTCTCTGACTGGAGATGTTCCTTTGTAGTACCTAGGTACATAAATGAGTTCCTAGAAACCTATAACTTGATATTTATTTTTTCATTATTTAAGTATTTTGACATTGTGAACTATTTACAAAAAGTGCTATGAGGATTGGCCTCGTGGTGCAGTTTAGCCCACAGTGGTGCTTGAATCTTTTATAATATTTATAAATATCAAATAATTCGTACTTTGTATTACTTTCTTACTTAATGAGAAGAATACACTTTAAATTTTCATTCCTGTATCGGCTGAAAAACTGTTCGTCATCCAGTACTGCCAAGATATTGCCAGGATCCCTCAGATATCTTTTAGGTGCTCTAACACCATGGTAATCATCTTCCTTCTCCAGATAAGTAGCCATGACGACCTCAAAGTCGTCAATTTTTAAAATAATTTAATACAAATTTATAAACTAAAAAATAAAGGTAGGTAAATGCGTCAAATAAAAAAAATGTCAGAGCAACTCAAAAGAAAACGCAAATAGCACAGTGATAAAAATGTTAATATATTTCCAAGTCAGACTTAAGACAGCTAAAGACTGGTTTTATACAAGTGCGACTTAACTCGATCCTAAGACCGAGTTAAGATTGAGCTGAGACATAAAAATCGTTAATAAATATCAATTATTGACTCGAGCCGTACTTGAGACTTTTTTATGCTTAAGTCGGACTTATCTTTGTTCATAAATACGGGTGTGAAAACCATAGTACGAAAAACAAAAGTGAGCAAATTATATTTTTCACGCTTGTAAAAAAGATATTGAATTTATAAAGAGTGCCTGATGCCGCTTTTTCATGGATCCAGTATTTGTATAATACAATGATAGTAGTAATGTTGATTTGAAATCAGTTTAATAAATAAAATTAATGAAACGACTCCTTGATTATTTACGTCAAACAACCTTTACATTTAGCCTGTATGTATAGTGGTAGACGACGCGACGTTTAATAAACACTCGTTGATAATTTTGGTTTTAATATAATGCGAATGTATATGTGCTGGAAATCTACACACCTACAATAAAATATTGCTAAAAAGTAATTTTATACAATAGGTGTTATATTAGAAATCACACATCAAATAGTTATCGTTTATATAGCCTCCTGTATTCTTATTCTGAAGAATATTAACATACTTTACCTAGACGAAAAAAATCTTTTATAATTTATCTCAATTTCAGATGGATGGAAGAAAGAGTTTTGTTCTTTTCTTAATCGCATTTATTGCGACAGGAACCGGCTTACCAGTGATGACCAGGCAGAGTTTACTGGCACAGAACAAATTCTGTTCAAACCTTCTCAACTTCAACAACTATTTCTATGCTTTGGAAGAAACAAAGAACTTATCAGGCGTTCCTGCTGATATAAGTGTCCATTGGAAGACAGGAAATATCTTCTTCACTCTCATAAGCGACGAAATGAAAATGAATTTACAAGTTTTACATACTAGCGGAGATTCTGAGACAATAAAAGTAGCTGGACTTGGACAATCAACCACTGTTGATAACCTCAACGATATAGTTTACTTAGCTACTGATAATGGAGTTTATAAATATAAAGACGATGGATCTATTGAACTGTATACGGCTTTAGGAGAAGATGTTATGTACATAGCAGTTTCAAATGACGGTTCAACTATGTACGTTGCTACTTGGCCACAAAATCGTGTGCACAAGATAACCTCAGACGGTCAAAAACAGGAGACATTCAGTGTAATACCAAACGGACACGGCTTGACTATAGATACAAGAAATAACATCTATTTCGTAGCAACAAAGACGACGTATATACTAAAGAACGGTTTCACGATTCCTATTAAAATCAAAGGTTTGCCAAGTGATAAGATGACAGGTGTATTCGTCAGTAGATCAGATGAAGTCTTCGGCATGGACGAAAACAGTAACTTGTACCTAATTGACCCAGAAAATGCAAGCGCTAAACATGTAGGTTCCTTCAACGTTAATGGAGTGAACTCTTTCGCGATGGATTCAGCTGATAACGTGCTCATTGGTATTAAAGGATCTTTATTGAAATTCAATGCTTACGAAAAAAGTCCCTGTTCTAAATTTGAGGTTTACGAGTCTAAAACTAAACCAATATCTATTATTAGTGGAAAGCTCGTCCCCAATCCAATAATTAAGTAAGTAACAGTTACACCTTATTTAATTTGGTTCTCCGTATTTATTCCCGTATTGTGGTCAATATAGTATAGCACATATTATTAACTAAACTAACGGAGTCTCACGGTAGTTTTCTAGTTAAGTATACTAGTTATATCATCTTCCTGCTTTCAGCAAATTTTTTTATTTCATTATTTCTCTTATAAACCCGTAAAATTGTAACATTCTGAAATCATCAAGGATTAATGTCATTTTCCTTATTGTTCGTTCTTTTGTAATCTTCGTGGGATTATTAAGATCTCATATGTAATTGTTTCTTATAGATTAATATTGCTGTGTTAATGAATTAACTAATTGATTGTTTATTACTAAGCAATCCGCATCATTGGTGATCACATCTACAAATTGACAATTTTTCAGGACAGAGGTTTAAAAATTCTACGAACAAAATAATCGATAACTTTTTATGCTTATATGTTTTTTATGACACCAAGTGACGGGACGAACCAGTCGTAAGCCTGGTAATAAGCGACACGCCTGTCCATAACAGTTTCAGAGAGCTTTAAATCACAAAGATCTATAGGGCACTGCTACCGAGCCCGTCACCCTGAGGCATAAGTTGACAAGTCTCTTGTGCTTGAAATTACTCAAGCACTCTTACCCTTCAAAACCGGAACGCAGTGATGATCACATTACTGCTTGGCGGCAGAAATGTTTCTTTATATATTGGTTCAGCAACAGCTTAGTACACTTAACATTTACATACATTATTATAATAATACAAAATTTGTTGTGGGAGCCAATTACACTCATAAACAACATAGTTAAATAATAAACTGCTTATAAATTATTATATTTAAAATTTATAAACCAAAATCATATTTAAAAAAAAAAGAAACTACTACGTAACCTAAACAGAGGTATTAGTATTAAAAAGAAACCGTTAAATAACACTAAATGAAATAATTTAAAAATAATCGTTGTATAAATAAAAAATGACTAAGATAAGAGAGTAAGCATGTTTAATTCTAGCTATGGGTATATTATTTTAAAAAATTCTCGTACATTATTTACATTTAATAAAATTGTTATTTTAGAGGAGTTGCAACAATCACACAAATCTGTTTAGGTTTAAGAGTGTGAAGTAAAACCGTGTTAATGTTTTTGTAATTATTAAATGTATTAAAACATATAAATATACTTTCAATTCCTATTATTTACATCAGATTAAAAATTTTGAATAAAAACATTAAAAAAAAATATTTGTCAAACAAAACTTTAATTCAAAAGCTCCAAGTACGTACCCATATTTGACGAGAAAATAGGTAAATGGAGAGTTATAAAATTTCACAATATAGCCACATGTGATCATTTGTCTAACAGTCGATTAATTTAAAATCGTAAAAATTACACGAACTTAATGAAACAAATTATGTACATATGTGAATAACAATGTTACCGACTAATGTCGTTTGAGTAAATATCTTCTAACACGGTTCTAGTCTGCAACGTGTATATATTTATCAGTAAGTATAAGTTTATTTACGTATATTTATATATACATATATTTATGTAGGTATAATATATCGCACTGTTAATACAATAGTGTATTAACTCAAGAAGTATATTTTTTCAGAATCGATGAAAAACGAATTACTTACTTCCCGGGAAAGTTATTAAAATTATGTATAGATCAAACTTTATTACACACATCTAAACTATTAAATATATTTGGAAATAAAAGGGATATATTTTACTCAATACTCATATACTCAAACATAGTGAGGACTGTTTTATCCAGAACTAGTCCATTAAAAGTTTGACTCATTTTGATTTGATTTTAATTGCTTCTTACAATAATATAACAACGGTTTTATTGACATGTAGAGAATCAAATTTTACGTTCAGTAATAGTATAATCTTGGATTTCACGTATTTTGAGTTACAACACTATTGTAATAGCAGTGCGATATCGTTATTTATTAACTATTTGGTAAATTACTGTTTCATTAATATTATTTTTTAACCGATTTCAGAAAAGGAGGAGGTTCTCAATTCGACTGTATGTTCTTTTTTTTATGTTTTTTTTTTGTATGTATGTTACGCGATAACTCCGGTATTTGTGAACCGATTTCCATGATTCTTTTTTTGTTGGAAAGGGGGTATTTCCATAGTGGTCCCATTTCATTTTGAAGAAAATCATCCACCTCAAAGGGTGGCTGTTCACGCATGAAGATTCATTTTTATAAATAGCGCCTAACTTTAATTTAGGAGCAATTACTTTTAGCAATTATTTAGTTGATTTTGCTATTTCTCCAATTGAAGGCGTTTTTCTCTCGATATACTTTGAGTAGTGTCGTAGTGAGAACCTATTTTTATTATCTCCAGTATCAAGTCCTGTATAGTGGCGAACTAGGGGATATTTCAATGAAACTTAGCAAATAGACGTAATTCCACGTACTTTTGAGGTCGGTTTTTTTAGTACTCTGTACTGAGATTATTATACAATTCATTTTCATTTTTATTTGTAAAATTGGCACACTACGTCTCCCGCTCCGATTACTTTTCCTCTACCTCAAAAGCTGATGATGATGATAATAAAACGGTACTCAGGTAAGCCGAGCTTGTCTCGAATTCGTATAAATCCTAATTCTTTCTAGGCATCGAGTGTATAATCAGAAATAGAGGCGAAATGTCATTTAATTTGTTTGAAATCTATTCTGCCATATCATTACTGTGACAACTGCGCTCCGATTGGCTAGCCCGAGTTCGAAACAATTGACGGGTGTCGTCAACTGTTTCACTTCAAATCGACCAGTAAACTTGAGCTTTGCTATAATGGACGAAAATTTCAAAATTACATATTTAATTACCGATGAAATGTCATTCCGTTTGTTTTGTAATTAGATGTTTTGCTGTTTTTCCCACACCACCGAATAGAACAGAACAGCATTGTTAGAGATGTTATCTTTATTACAATAAATACAGAATATTTTTTGGAGTATACGGACACGTACACACGGGTCAGTAGTTGGCTTGTCTATATTTCAGTGCAAATGAGAGTTGATATTTATAAGAGCTGTATCGTTAATGTGTTACCAGGAATATATGGCCCTTATTTCGTCTCTATTTCTGGTTATATACTCGATGTTTCTAGGTTAGAAGTGACAAAAATTTACATTCTGTGTTGAGTCATCAAAGACATTTGGAAGAGCACATTATCTATATTGACATACGGTACGCTTTTGGGAATATTCGAACAAGACATCGGAGCCGGTGTACATTGTAATGTAGATATTAAGACAGTTGCAATGTCAAACTTAAAATATTGATAAGAGGAAGTCATTCATATATTTTCTCCTTAAAACGTTACTTGTTGACATCAAGTATATAACCAGAAATAGAGACGAAATAAGGGTCATTCGTGGAAACTCATCAGGCAAATGGGCCTTATATCAGTTTTAAATATCGACTCTCGTTTGCACTGAAATCACAAATTAGAAAGCTGAAATAGTACAGCACCAACAACTGTAGGTCAGTTGGTATTGATGCAACTGACCTGTGTGTACGTCTCCGTATATTCCAAAACTATTCTGTATTTATCGAGTTCTTAGGTTTTCGTGATTGTTACATACTGTCATTGACAGTTGGTACTGTCAATCAGTTACTGTTTGAACAGTAACTGTACTGTACTGTAACTGGTTGAAGACTGTACCACCTCAGTCAACCGGGACCATGGGACCTGTAAAGGGCCCGAAACGTCGGTTTGTTTGAAAAAACAAATATACGCGATTTAAATCCGGAAAAACATTTCCTATTCTATTCTGTATTTATTGTAATAAAGTTAATATCTCTAACATACCTATAATATAACTGTTCCATTTGGTGACGTAGGAAAAAACATCTAATTACAAAACAAACGAAATCACATTTCATCGCTAATTAATAATAATAACAATAATAACGCACACACTTAACATAGCCCCGCACTAGGGAAACCCTGTGTCGTGGGTGCCATGGACACACACATATACAACCACAAATTACACCCAAACTCACGAGAGAAATAAATGAAGGCCATAGAAATATTTTTCCCGGCCCGGGAATCGAACCTGGGACCTCTGCGTGGCAGTCCGGCACGGCACGGACATGGTAACCGTTCGGCCACGGAGGCAGGTAAAATAATTAAATACAAAATATTAAATATGCAACTTCTCAATTTCTCAAAAACTCAAGTTAAACTGGGCGCTTTGAAGTGAAACAATTGACGACGCCCGTCAATTGTTTCGAATTCGGGCTGGCCAATCGGAGCGCAGTTGTCACCGTAATGATTCGGCAGAATAGTTTTCAATCAAATTAAATGACATTTCGTCTCTATTTCTGGTTATATACTCGATGCTTGTTGAGCAATCACTCCACACGCTCGATGATTGATGTGTATGCTATTTATACATTGAAATTGTATTATTTATTTAAGTTTAAAAAGAGTCATAAATACATACCTTATAGACAAACATACATAATATTATAATAAAATACTAATTATTTACACATATCGTCCCAGACGCGTGACGCAACGCGGGTGCTTGGTAACCGTCCTCGGAAATGACGGTACATGACACCCCTTGGCCAAAATTTCTCCTTCATGAAGGTCGACAGATGTTCGATTCGAGTGGTCTTAGAAGGCTACTCTTCCGAATATATGGCGATAGATGCCTCAGGGTTCCGTACTGTCTGCAACTCTCTTTCTGCTGCATGTCATTGATGTTAATTCCAGGTAGCTTTGCGTATGCTGATGACAGCACAGTTGTAGACAGGTACTTGACCAATGCAAGGGTCAGTGGAGAGGAAACCCAGTCTTATCGAGAGTCCATGGTTAGCCGTTTAGATTTGACACTCCAGGCAGTCTCCGATTTGTCAAATTCAACTCTACCAAAACGCAGGCGTGTCTATTCTCCACAAAACGGAGTCCCTTTGAGCTGAATCCGACTTTTCGTGATATATCCATACCGATAGCCAA